GAGCCGCCCGAGCCCAGCGCTGCACCACCCTGCTCGCTGCCGCTGTCTCGGTCCGCCATGATGCTGCGCTCCGCCGCCGCGCCGCCGCCTGCCGCTCCGCCCGCCGCCGCCTCAGTCGCCTCAGCCGCCGCTGCTTTCCCTCCCCGGCTCCGCCTGCTGCCGCTGCAACCCCCACAGCCAGTCAGCCACTCTCGCGAGATCTGCGGGAGAGACGAGACAGACGAGACCCGGTAACAGGGCATTGACTCCCCTGTACAGTAGCAGGGCACCCTACTGTACGCGCCCACCCGCCTGCTGACACGTGACCCACGCCCCTTCCCCGCTGCCAACCCCCCTGTCCGCCCGCCCGCCAGGCGGCGCCCACCCGCCGGCCCTCACCAACACCCCTGGCCGGGGAGGGGGAGGAGCGGACTCGCCGCGTCGCAGCTGCTGCCGCCGCCACTGCTACCACCTCTACTACCACTACCACCATCACGACCACCACGACCACCACCACCATGGCAGTCACTGTTTCCTAAACCCTCAGCGGCTACGGCCTGGACAGTTTGGGGAGAGCGGGGTGAAAAGGAGACTGCCATACTCAGCACAGAGAGCAGGCCTGAACTCTGCTTTCCAGTGGCCACCAAAGAGAGGATGTGGGGGGAGGGGCCAGGGCAGCGCCGCCGTAGAGTCCGCTGCAGAGAGGGGACACCGAGTCACGGCCCCCCCACCCCTGCGAGCTCCAGCCAGACCCAGACCCAAACCCAGACAGGCCCGCCTGCTGCCTGGCTGGGCTGTCTCCTACCGCAGAGCCCTGGCCGCAGAGGCTTGCGAGGAAGAGGAAAGATGGTGAGGCAGTAACCCTCAACTGCAGAGGGGGCTGCCGGGGATGAGGACGGGGCGCCGGCAGCGGCGCGAAGCAGCAGACACCTAGCCGTCCCTCCCCTCTCCCGCCCCTCGCTCCCGCCGCTCCCTCTCCCCGCGCACGGCAGAGCGGCTCTGGCCTCAGATGATCCCGCTCCCCCCTCCCCCCAACCGCAGCCCCGCACAGCCGAGCGGGCGGGCAGGCGCACTCACCGGCGGGGGGAGTCGAGGGGAGGACCGCAGCAGCACCAGGGCCAGGGTGCCCGCAGTGCCTTTTCCCTTTGGCTCTGCCCTTCCCCCAAACAACAATCAGAAAGAATCCCCACACACATCCAAAAACCTGCAGCCAGTCCCCCTTGGGACCGCGACTGCCCGCCTGCCTCCCCCTCCTCCTCCTTCCGAGATTTGGGTAAGGGGGGCACCCTGCTTTGGGCTGAGCCCAGCCTGGGTCGCCGGCCAGCTCTGCGGATGAACCAGGCCTTGCAGAGCCTTCAGCCCCTAGCCCAATAGTCTTCCTCTTTGGAAGGAAAGACCCAGAATGGAGAAAACCAAGATGACTTTAGGAAATTCAGAAGCTAAAAATGTCAGGAATTTCCTGGGAAACGCAGATCCTTAAGGGATTCATTTAAAGCAGGTTTGCTCACCCCTTCTGCCCTTCCTCCAAAGAATATGTATCAAAGATAGCTCCTACCAAAAAGTAAAACCGTAAATGATTGCTGACTTTTAGGTAGACGGCTTGGTTACCATTCATTAATAAGTCTTTGAATAGTGATAGAAAGGTAACTCTTGAGCCTTAAAAAGGCGGCTTAGGAGTAAAGAGGGGGGCGCAGACATAATTTCTTTCTAGATCTGATATGTAATATAGGGCCCATTTTCCTACTCCCAGGTAGAAAGCAAAATGTTCATGTTCCCTTACTGCAGTTTGCAGCCATGGCAGCTGTGGAGAAACTAAGTTCTCCAAAGGACCCCATACCAATGCCACCACACTCTCTTCCCCACCACTTTCTGCAGGGGCTTAGAGGATATAGCTCTCTCCTTGTCTTTTTCAAGCATGCATTGCTGCCTCCATCCTAAGAAGGGTGTGCCTCTTTTCATATGTGGCTTACAATTCCATTAACAGTCTCTCTCACGAAAGTAAGGAGACCTCCCCTCTTTTTAGGCCCAGAGAAAACTGGGTACATGGTTGTCCAGCTTCTTGGAAAAGAGAGGACTAATCACAAAACTCAGGGCAGTCCTGTACAAAAGCCTTGCCAATGTTTGAGTCCTCAAAAGCTACTAATAGAGCCCTTTACCTTGTAGGCACTTAGATTTCTTAGATTTCTTACGTATTTATAGCTGCTTTTTGTTTTAACAAGGGTTCCATTCTGTCCATTATTAGCGACATTGCATCTGGGCTGACCATAGCTTCTTCCCAATAAAAAGGGAGAAACTGGGGAAAGCATCCTGCTCATCAAAGAGAAAACTGGAGTAATCCTGTGAACTAGCCCTAGAGCCAATTTCACATGTCTAGTAGTCTCTTAAGTGGCTTTCTTAAGGGGAGGCCCACTCTTGAGAACTAGAAACCCAGGCTTTAGGTCCTGTAAAGAACTTTGCCTTAGAAGGGCTATGGCTCTTTCAGTATTTACTTTTCTGTACTCGCTTCTCTGCACCCAAGCTGTAGCGAAGGGTGTTCAGAAAGTGCTGTCGCACTACCATAAGACATACATTCACGTACAAAGAAGTAACAGCTCCTCCGCCTTCACATTATAGGATCAGGACCCTGGACAGATTGTCCTGTCCCCTCTAAAGACCAAAAAGTTGAGGGGCAGGGTCCCCATTCAGAATGGGGCGGGGCGGTTACACTCCCAGTTATGCACTCAGTCTGAAGTCTCCAGTAGTACGGTTTAGAAGGGATGCTCCTCTTCCTCACGCATTTTACTTTGTGCAGACCAAAGCCTTTTCTCCCTCCTGAAAACTCAAGGTAGCGACATGGGCAATGAAATTGTAATCAGGGAGTCCACTAAACCATCTCTGTCATTCTTTAGTACGAATGATCGTTTTCTGGGCATCAGATAGAGCTGGAAACTACCCATCTTTTCGGGCCCTAATGCAGAGTCTAAATTTCTTGCCTTCCATCACAAACATTTCATGCAAGAGGATCTGAAAGGGTTGAGTTTGATAGTTTGCCGATTTTCTGTAAGAGCAATTCTCACCTGGAATTGAGTTCCTTAATTCCCAAGTGCAAAAGCAACCAATGAAATTTCTAGAGAGAATACAATTTAAATAACATCTGCACACTTAAACTGTGCAAGCTCAAATCAGCTGACTACTGAGATCTGGATCTTGCCACATAAATATGTAGTTTATGCTATGTATAAAAATTCTGCCATTACATACCACTTTCTTGCTTCTTTATAAATATCTAAAAGGCAAAAGAGGCTAGTAGTAATATCTTTTCTGAAATAATCCCATGATATATGGATATTTGGTACATTTTCACTACAGAAACATGAGAATTAATTTCAGGCTAAGCGAAGTATGGGCTTTATTTTCCAGACTAGTGGGATGAAAGGCAGTTTTTCTTAGGCTGAGTAGCCTTAGAAAGCAGACTCCTTAGAATATTAACTCAAAGAATGATTCTAAAAGAAAAAAAAAAATCTACATTTCTAAATAGAATTTCAAAATAAGATTTTCATGCTAGCATCGAAAATCCATTAGAAAATTTGTGAGCCATATGCTGATTACCCAAGCAGCATGCTAACTTGGTCAGTGAAAAGTCTGGTTTCATGTTCAGCTGTTTCACTTTATTTTCAATACTTGCAAAATTTAGCTTATAATTTCATTATATTGTGGGAAAGACAAAGCAAATAAAATCTACATCTATAAAGCAAAATATCTGCGTTAATGAAAGAATTTTTTTAAAATAATTTTCCTTCTCCTTAAAATTTACTACACGAAAATAAAATCTGATGAAAGTTCTCCTTAAAATTTACTACACTAAAATAAAATCTGATGAAAGTTTTCCAGATTTCTTGGGCTCTTTTATTAATACTACACACACGTTGGAGAGAATAAAGACTACTTTATTGTTAATACCATTATCTTCATGTCTTTAACAAACTCTTACCAACAAAAAACTGCATGAAAAGAAACAAACATTAGATCAAAAAAGAAGGGAAAAAGTGTCTCAATTTTCGTTAGCCTAAACTACAGGTGATTCTAATATAAAGTAATTCAGCTTTGGTTTTAAAAGGTAACAATTAACATATACATTTATAAAATAAACCTGGAGAAAATACCTACCTTTGGACATTAAACTCTTTTGACTAAAAAGTCTCCCAATAGAAACAATAAGTTGGTTAATAATTTACAAAATCACAAATTTCCAAAATAAAAGATAAAAAGATCATTAGAACTTGTGTTTTATAGTGCTACTTAATGTCTTTCTTACACCGGACAATACCCAAATCATTGAAACTAAATGAAATGTTGTACTCAAAGCGTTCAAAGTGGAGACTGCCCATTTCTTCTTATGGTTATCTACTAGGAAAATGAAGAAAACTCTCAGATAAATCTTAACATTTAACAACAAAGACTAACAGAATTTCACCACTCCAAAAAGTCTTCCTCCTTGCTATAGCTTTATTCTTTAGCCATATTCTTTTCACTTATGCTTCTTCATTGATATTTTAATGTTCAGAGTTAAATATATCAATTAAACATTTAAAATTGGAACAGAACAATCCATGTGACAGAATCCTCTCTCACAAAATACGTTCCTTTTAAGCATTTGAAGAAAAGTTAACTACATGTAGCGAAAGCTTAAAATTCGATAAAATATTCAAATAACCCGACATTCCATGTTTCTAAAAGGTCCAAACAGAACCAATTTGAGTGCTAATAGCTTTCTCCAGAAATTTAAATGGTTTTCACTAGTACTCAAAGGAATGAAGCCAGAGACTCACTCTATACTCTAATCAACACTCCAATTTCCAAAGCCGCAATTCAATTCGTAAACGTCAGTTTGGGCAGAGAGCAGTAGGGGTCTTGAAGTAACTCAAAGATCTTTTTCTCCCCCTTCTGACAGTCTACCAAAAATGTCACGTCAAATTCAACCTACTATAAAGCACCTAGACCACCCTTCCAAGGACGCAGGACACAAGCATAGACACCACGGCAAAAAGCTGTCCAAAAGCTTGGCCCCAAAGAAACGCAAGGGGCCCACACCAAAACGAATCAGAACTCACATGAGGGTCCCGCAGGGACCCGGGGAAAGGGAGGTGGCATTTATTCAAGGGTATATAGTTCCGAACCAAAAAAAGTTGCCTGAGCCGGTCCTTGGATCTCTATTCAAGTTCAGGCTCATGGCCGATATATCTGCGGGGTCCCTTCTTCTACAGACATCTTAGCCGGCCTCAGGGGCCCAGTGTCCCTCAAAGGGACGATTCTCTAGCTTCACATCCGTTCCTTTTGTCCCTGGACAAAGGCAGAGGAGGCAGTTGAGCTGACCTAGCGCCTTGGGGTAGCAAAAACGGCCTGTTAGGTTCACCATCCTTGGGCCTGGCATCATCTGCGATGTCAGCACCAATGTATTATTTTTACAACGTATCCTGGGCGGGTGCGTGCATTTTGGGGGAGGCGGCTGGATAGAGAAGAAGAGGGGTTGTTAGTGGAGCC